AAAAAAAAAAAAAATGTAAAATATTCAGCAAATATAATGCTTGGATAAATGTTTCTACATTAGGTATTATTACCTTTTTGTAGTATAGTTTAAATTTATTGGTCAGTTAATATTGTAATTTGTATTTAAAATCTTATTAGTTTATAGCTTCTTCTATTAAAAACAACTTTTCTTACTAATGAAAATAAAATACATAATTGCATAATATTTAACAAAACATAAATGTTTTAACATTAATATAATACTTTTAAAGGTAATAATTATCTCAAGGAAAAGAAAATTGGAACGTTTAAGGCATAGATTGATGCCAATGTATAATTTTGAGCCTGGTGAAGAAGAGGAAGATGATTGGGAAACTGAATTATTAGAAGAATGTTATAGTAATCATCAGAGACGTGTACGTATAACAATTTTAGATTAATATATAATATACATTGTTAGTATAAAATACTTTGTCTTACAGCAAGGGTATCAATCTATGGATACTGAAGAAAATGCTGAACTTTTTGGAAATCATTGACAAAGTATTTATAATAGTCTTTTAAAATCTTTGTATTATCTACAACTATCTTAGATTTAAAGTTAACTTTAGTAGATTTATATATTTACTAAATGTTTAAATAATTTGTATATATCTTTCAATTCAAAGGATAAAATCCAAATTCATAAATTTTATATATGAGAAAATATTCCAGAATCTAAATCTAAATATTAGAATTTAATCTATCACAATAGATATATGATGATAGAATTTATTTTACTTGTTTGATGAATATCCATAAAATGGATAATATTTAACTTAACAATTCTATAATAGAGAATTAAAGAGACCAAAATGACTGATTTCATTTTGTCATTAATATTCATTGTATTCATATTATTTATAACAGATTTTCATAAATGTAGAATTTTTGCTATGTAATGAATTTCATTTATGTATATTTTTTTTCATATCCTTTCCTGAAAATACATTAATGAAATGAAATATTGATTATCAATTTAAAAATTTAAAATTTTGTTCTATTTATGTTTAATACTATAAAATTCTAGTGTTAAAGAGAATTAAATAAAAAATTAGGCACTTAATGTTAAACAAAGAAGTATTAAAAATTTCATTCTATGTGACTACTGTAGATAAACATCATTTAATAATATAGTTAAACTTTTTTGTCTAAGCATAGTAAATAGTATTGAAAGACTAAATATTAAATAGTTTTAAATATAATTTTTAAGATAATCAATTGAAATTAAAATGTATTCTAATGTATTAAAATGTATTTTTAAAATTGTAATATAGCAACAAGATTTCGCTAGTATAGGAATTTTGGCTAGAATATGAAAAAATCTATATGTATAATATAGCAACTAATAAGAGTCATTTTATGAGTTTATTTATTTTAATACAAATTTGACATTCACACATATGCTTGTTTGAAAAACATTAATGTTCACTTGTTCAAATATAATTAAAAAAAGGATATTTCTTGTACAAGAAGTATTTCTCACAGTATTAAATTTATATGAAGTCTTTGACTTTCAGAATTAAAATGTACATACATAGGGGCAAAAGAGGTAACATATATGATATAATTATACACCATATGCTTTATGTAAGGTCACTATGTACCTTATACTTTAAAGTTAGCTAAAGTCTTTATCATTTTAATTCCAAGTCAGCTTGAGATCTTAATTTTTTTAGGTTTAAAATTTTCTTCATTAAAATACTTGTATTTCGTTTTGATACTTAAAATAAAATTATTATGATAGTAACAATAATAAAAATAATACTAATAATTATTATATTAATAATAATCATAATAAAAATGCATAAAGTAAATACTACAAAGTGCTTTACATATTTTCAACCAAGGTTTTCTATGCCACTTCTTTTTTTCCTTCTCTTTTGTTGTTGATTATAAATCATATTTTCGTACAACTTCCTTGGAACACGAGCAGTTTTTATTTTCTCTCTCTCTTTTTTTAAAGTAATATGTTACCACTTTACTATTTCGATTTGCAGATTATGATATAAAAAGCAAACTTAAAAGTTTTAAATTTCTTATCAATTTTTTAAAAACTTTCAAAGAATAATTCTGGTACATTGAATTTATTTTTTTACATTCAATTATCCTCCTCCTCCTCTTCCTCTTCTTCTTGTTCATCTTCCTCTTCTCCAGTACTTTCAGGTTTTTCCTCTTTCTTCTTAGGTCTACCACGACCCCGTCCAGAAGGATTTCCTTTAGGTGAACCTTGCTGCAATTAATAATAAGGAAATCATGTAAGTATAATAACTATTACCTCATATTTGATTTCGGAAATAACAAACCTTTTTTTTATGTGATCCCTTTGGTCGCCCTCTTCCTTTTTTAACAGGCACAGGCGATGCATCATCTTCATTGTCAGATTTTGCAGTGCGTATCGCATTGTTTTTATCAGTAGAGGGTCTGCCTCTCTTCTTAGGTTCTTTAACAGTATTCTTATCTGTTTTTGCTGGTCTACCACGCTTTTTCTTTTGTTCTTCAACAACAGGCGAGTTGTCGTCTGACATTTTTAATTTTGTATATATCACTGTATAACCAAAAATTATGTGTTACGATATAAATCTTGAAATTATTTATTTAAAATATATATTTATTTTGGTTACAATAATCTTGTTGTTACTAACTTCCACAAGAAAGTTTCAAAATTAGGAACATCAAAAAGGGAAAAGAAAAAATTCAAACGAACTTACATTAAAAAAAAAAACTCATATCCTCAAATTATAAAATATATGTATCCTTTTTATACATAAAAACGCGTAAATACTCGTTATATTATAATGTTTAATTTCACATAACTACAACGAATGGGAAGTATAAATACTTTTACAGGGAAATACAGAAAGCTTTGCATAGCTATTGATTTTTGAAATTTCTTATAGAGCTTATTTAATTC